TATACATAAATATATTATGGGTATACGGATTCAATTTCTTAAGCTTGTCAAGAAGAACATGTTATAGTCCCGATGTTTGTTGAAGGTCAGAAAATATCATCTTTAGAGTTCAATTCCCAAGAACCTAACCTAAACTAGATTCACATACTCATCCATTCCATCTATGAATATCGTAATCATCATTGAATGTCATTAACAGAAGTATAAACCAATTAGCTTTGCAATTTCATGCGCCATATGCCCCATTTTGTTCGCTCCTAAGACATACCTGAATAACAATCCCTTTGATTGCCTTTACATGTGAGGAGAAAGCTAGCTTGGTCCCTGCAAGAGATTGGTATGTATTTTAGTGTATATTCTAGAGTAGGGTTAGGGGTTCTTATTTTACATGGTTTAATCTTGTCATTTGTCAAAGATTTACAGCTTCAATTAATAAAGAGCTTTTAATTGAGTTGATATTCAAGGAATTTCAAGATTAAAATTTTCTCATTGCTTATTTCTTGAGAAGGAAACATTTTATTTAAAATGTTCGAACGTCAAGTGACTTACAAACATTCAAACATAAGAAGAAATACGAGTTCAAACAAGATGAGACGTTTTTTATGAGAATGCAACAAAATTCCTTATGGATGTCACAACCTACTCTTGATCAGAATGCCCCATCATTCTTCGAACGTCCATGCCCTTGAATCAATCAGATTGCATTTCAATACCCCATAATTTTCAGTGGTGTGCCCTGAGCTTCCTATATGATAACTACATGTGACATAAACATCGTAGCCCTCAGGATATGGGGACTCTTTTCTCAGATCTTCCTGGAGGCTCAACCCTACGACAGCTGAATAGGCTCCCACTGATTTCAGCTTCTTCCTTTAATTGTTCAAATCTTGCTTCTATTCTCAATTTGGTGACACGTGATAAGGACCACATCATCGAATCCTCCATGAATTAATCCTCATGTTTTCACGAATGATGCATGTGAAAATGTTTAAATAAATGAAATGAAGATGCAAAATGAAAAATGCAAAAATGAAAATGTAGATGCAAAAAAGATTGATCCTAATGATGAATATCGCAGAACAATTTTCATCAAAGATAAAAGCCTTCACATTACAAGATAGTCCATTTTACAGACATGCTTTCGTTTAGATGATGAGTCTGAAATGTGTCGGTACTTCATCTTGGAGCTTCGTCTTTGAAAATGATGCCCCTCAAGTATTCTATAACCTAACTCTACAAATGCCTCGTGCAGTGTTGAAGTCAACGCGTCACTCCTTGGTGGTTAGCGATAAAATGATTGTAAATAAGGCTCTACTGCTGGATTACTCCTCGGATCAATGGATTATCATTCCAGTCTCGAACGCTGCATGATCATTGAGCGAGTCTCCTTCTTCTACTCTCTGAACTTCTTTAAGCCCTCGGTGCATGTCTGTGTACGCGACTGCTTGATTGAAAACTTTTATCTCTTCTAGTGAAAATTTTCTCTTGAATATCCCCTTGCGGATCAACACTTTCGCATTATGTTATGTTGATGAAATGCAAATGCAAAGAAGGATACAAAATGACACAAACAAAGAAAAAAATAAGTTAGCACAGGTAAAATAATCAATAAAATTAAAAGATGTTATTTAAAGATAAATATAACACTTACCCAATCATGATATCTACTCGAGCATGCTTTTATTAAATAACAATCATACCTAGAAATGTTTTCTACCCAAAAATGGTTATTTTCAAGAAATTGATCCTAACTGCATGGTATCTAGTTCGTATGCTTTTATTCAACAAAATTTAAAGCAAAAGGTAAAGGTTCAGAAACGATCCTCCTTTGTGTACACTTATTTTGGCACCTACTAATGAATAGAGGTTCGGTATAGCTATACCTAGGGTGAGCATTTTACGATTCACTATATGAATGGTTTCGCCTCTATGAGGAAAGGGTACTCGAATTGTCCTTGATGTTGGTAACTCCTTGGGCGATCAAACCCTCGGGTCTAGAGCTTATGGCATGCAAATGCATGTGATGTGTGTGAGGAGGAACGTACAAACCTTTAACTCAAAAAGGAAACAAAAAAAACTTGACAAAGACCTTAACAAAGCTGGAAAAAAATTAAAACGTTAGTACGATAAACATACAGAAATTAGAAAAAAAATTCAATAAATGAATCATAATCTAACTATAGGCTTGAACTCATAATTTCCACCACTACGATAATGTGTAAGCGACTTACAGCCTAACTCTCCAAAAAATTAATTTGAATTAACTACAATATGAGTCGCCATCGACCTTTGAGCTAGGTAGCTCGAATACCTAAAACATCTTTTAACAATATTTTAAGGAAAAATCATTTTTTAAGATAAAACTCGGTTTTCGTTTACCAAAAATATGATTTAACGGGTCTGGGAGTCGATTACATGTGGCGAAGGATTAGCACCCCCACATCGCCCAAAATTGGTACTTAATCGCTTATACATTGTTGTAAATGGTGGAAAGTATAAATCGAATATAAAGTTAGAATATGATCCAATTATTAAAGATTAAATAATTTGTTTCGAATTAATTATTAGGGAAAATCATTCAATCCAAAAATAAATATCGAGATTCACTCATCCTCCGACGGGAAAACTATCTCTACATGTTTCTTGACCAAAAAGAATATTCCCTCATTGATATAAAAACGCGAATAAAATATAAATTGACTATCGACCTTTACATAAAATAAATTACTATATAAAAACGCATCGAATCATTTAAATAAAAAAAATTTAATTAATAAAATAAACTAGATTTATCTCAAGTTCCATTTCGTTAAAATGGCGTATCGGATCGCACCACTTCGACCAAGTGATGTTTTCCATGCTCATTCTACAAATTGGTGTTCTTGAAACTATTCGAATAATATTTAGATAAAGAAATACAATGGAAACAAATGCGAATGGAAAATGTGAAATAAAATATTTACAATAAATAGAGCTAATAATATTGATTTAAAACAGTACAAATAACTACAATATGTAAAATATATTCATACATAAAGGACTAAAATAAAAACAAGCGAACATTACAAACCAAAATAAAATCACCAAAAATAAGTATTTAAGGGACCAAAATAGGATTAACAGAAACTTGAAGGACTGAAAAGCGATTATAAACAACCAAGGGCCACAAACAAAAATATTAGACAGTATAAGCACAAAAAAATCCATATATATTATTAAGGACTAAAATAAACTAGATAAGAAATACAAAAGGACCAGTTAAAATTATACCAAAATGCAACCATATGAAATAGTGACCAAAATAAAAGATTCTTAAATGTCATGACCAAATACTAACATCAAAGAAAATAATATAACACATAAGTTCAGTGACTTAAAAATAAACATAGGAAAATAAATGCTCAAAGTAGAATACCAATAGATTTAAATTAATGGTTTTGTAATGAAATTACAAAACATGGGGGACCTAAACTGTAACTTTACCCCAAAAATTAAAAAGTACGGGTGATATTACAAAGCTACAGGGCTAGGTTTGCTATTATCTCCAAGCATGAAAACGCGCTGAGATCCCCCTCTTAGATGACGTTGTTTTAACCCCTAAATATATGTTAAAAAACACGGCTAAAATGGCCCTAAATTTTCATTTGCTTAATGTCATCCTAGCCTAAAAGAGAGAGAGCCAAAAGGCTCTCCAGCTCCCTCCTTCTCTGCTAATCCCACCGAAGAAAACCACCCTCGACTCCCCGACCACCGTAAGTCGGTGGCCACGGGGGTAAAGCGCTCAACAAATCCCTACAAAATGATTCTCTCACAGCCGAACCCCTCTACAACTCAACCTCAAAAACCCCTTTACTCACAAAACAAAACCCAAACCCTAAAAGTATGAGATTTCACCTTCAGTTATGAGGGCTTTCTTGATTCTCTAGGGCAACGAAGATCTCCATTACAAGGAAAGGTATCAACTTTCTCTTTTCTTTCATTTTCTCATTTTTTTACTCCATTTACTGCCCTTTTTTCCTGTTTTCTCCCGAATTACCCCATGTTTTTCCTCTGCTTCCTTCTTATCTCCCTTGCATTTTAGATGAGATAATTACATCTAGCATAGGGTATGATTTCTTTTGACTGAGTTGGTGAAAATCCCAATTTTTTCGAGATTTATTGGTTTTTTTAAAAATGGGTTTGGATTTGGTGATAATTTCTACTGTAGATGATAATTTGTTTCACTGTTTTCTTTTGATTTGGTCGGATTTACTAAGGTGGACAGCAGTGAGAGCAATAAGTGGCAGCACACACAAGCGGGGAGCCAGAGGGTTGAGCGCATGCTCTTCAAGCGCATCATCGGATAGTTCCGATTCTATCAGCGGCGGCGACTGCTTCACATATTAGGGTAAAAACCCTAAGTATATTGTATCTGAGCCATTGATCCTCGCCAGATCTGATGGCTGGCCCTGAGGGAAACCTTAGTGGTTTCAGGTTATATCATTGGGCTTGGACGGGTCGGGTTTCGGGTTGCATCATTGGGCTTCGACGAGTCAGGTTTTAGTTGGGTTAGCTTCTGGGTGCTTGTATCTGAGTTGGGCTAGCTTCCTGGTGGGTTACTGTCTTGGGCCTATAAAATATGTAAAATATTATTAAGATAATAATAATAATAATAATCGTAATAAAAAAAAGACTTGGACAAAAACGGGATTTTACATGAGAGATGATGTAAATCAATTACTTTGCATTACTTGGGGGTTTTAAGTCCCTGTAGGTAGGGGTGTGCAAAAAAATCTGATTCGACCGATCTGATCTGTTGATACGATCCAAAAATTTGGATATCTTATCCGTTTTTCAATTTTCGGATAGTTCAGATCGGATATCCGAAATTTTTTCCGGATTATCGAAACGGATATGGATCGATAAAAATCCATGTTCAGTTTATCTGAAAACCCGAAAAAAATTTGGGCTATATTTGACCCAGAGCTATTTCTCTTCTCCACCTTAGCGCATTTCTATACTCCACCATGCCGACCCAGAGTTGTTTGTACCCTCAATCCCTAATTTCCCTATTTTTCATCATCCCCTTCCCTTCGTTATCGGCCTTAGAATTTTTTGACGCCATTCAAAGTTCAAATCTCGCCTTTCTCTTTTTCTTCAGCTCTATTCCTCTCTATTTTTCCAATCTGTAAGTTTCTTCTATTCTTCAATCCATAACTTTCAAGGCTTTAATGATGCAAATATTCGTGACTTAAATGTTGGAAATCATTTGTTTTCTCTTCTGCTTGTACCATTATTTGTTTTCTAGCTTGGTCTGTTTTTATTTCGTCATAGCTAAAAGTGTTTCGATTGGGCATTTGTTGTGCGTAAATTTCCTGGCTACTATTTGCCTTTCATAGCAATATACACTGTACATTCTTTTGATGTTTTAATGATCCAATGGTTGTTGAAAAAGAGATTTTTTGCATTCTTGGTTCAGGGGAGGGGGTAAATGTAAACTAATCAAAGATTGATGGCTCCTTATTATGACCCAGATTATCGGATATCTGATCTGTTTTTTAATTTTCGGATAGTTCAGATCGGATATCTGAATTTTTTTTGATTTATCGGATCGGATACGGATCAATAAAAAATCATGTTCGGATTATCCGAAAACCCGAAAAAAATTTGGGCTATATTCGACCCAAAGATATTTTTGTACTCCACCTTAGTCTTTTCTATACTCCACCACGCCGACCCAGAGCTGTTTGTACCCTCAATCCCTAATTTCCTATTTTTTGTCATCCCCTTCCTCTCGTTATCTGTCTTAGAATTTTTGGACGCCCTTCAAAGTTCAAATCTCGCCTTTCTCTTTTTCTTCAGCTCCATTCCTCTCTGTTTTTTCAATTTGTAAGTTTCTTCTTTTCTTCAATATATAGCTTTGAAGGCTTTAATGATGCAAATATTCGTGACTTAAATGTTGAAAATCATTTGTTTTTGTTTGTTTTCTATGCTGCCTGCACCATCATTTGTTTTCTTGCCTGGTCTGTTTTCCTTTCGTCATAGCTAACACTGTTTCGATTGGGCATTTGCTGTGCGTAAACTTCATGGCTACTGCTTCCCTTTCACAACAATATATGCTTTGCATGCTTTTTATGTTTTAATGATCCAATGGTTGTAAAAAAATGGATTTTTTGCATTCTTGGTTCAGGGGAGGGGGTAAATGTTAACTAATAAAAGATTGATGTCTCCTTAATATGACTTCACATAAAACATGTTCTCAAAGAACAGTGACTTTGGTTTGTTTGTGAAAATGCTAGTTACCTTATTATCCCATCCAAACAAAAAGGCCTATAACTGCAATTGCAAATGGAGCTGTAACTCCTGAGTAGCCTAAGTAGATTTATAAACCAAAGTGTCTTCAGCATTAGCCTGAGGCTCCTAATATCCATCAACACCTTAGTGATGCATCAAAACTCGTCTTTTCATGAAAATCATAATGTGATCCTATAGAATATGTGAAATTATAGGGAGGTTTGCCAGCTAAAGCATCATTCTTAGGCTTTTTCTTTCTCTATCTCCTTGTTTCTTTTATTAATCTTATTAAAAGAAGTAAAATCTTAAATTCTGATCCCAAACAAGTTGACAGAATTAGTGTAAGGGCAATCTGTATAATCGTTTGTTGGTTAAATTATGCTATTAGATAATTCATTTACTTATAAATTATCTGCAGGTCACTCCCACTCACATGCTGACCTCATGGATTATGATCACAAACATGCACACTCTTTGAAGGACCTTTCTGTGGGCTTATCCATTCTTGGTAAGTAGCATTATATAATAAAAGTGTGCGCGTTTGTGTTTGTATGCATGAATATGCGGGAAACATGCTAGGCTGGTCTTATCATTTCCTTATATCTGCAATGGTGTAAGAAATTTCTTGTTCAGTAATATTACTATTGAAAATTTGAATGCATATCATAGATGGATGAACCAAGTGTTCCATGTTTTCTAAGCAGTTAAACATGTCACTCACATTTTTGGCTCATGTTTAGCTTCCCTTTTAGTTTTAGTCATATGCAGTTATCACTGCAGTCCATTTAATCAATCACTTACCGTCTTGGGTGTTAAATGGCGTTTTCTTATTTGAACGGTTATATGAAAAGAAACCTTTTTTATAATCACTTGCATGTTTTCAGCTGCGCGTGTTTTTCTTACATTCGTCTTTTCCAATTATCATTTGTAATTCATTTTTACTGTTAGTAAAAAAATCTATTACTCAACATGAACTTGAGTTGTTGATTTTTACAGATTCTCCCTCTCAACGTTTGAAGATGACGAGCCAAAACCCTAGCCAATCTCTATTTCAATATCATGTAAGGGCTATATTTTTTGGGTAAATAACGAAAAAAACTAATCTAGTAAACTAATTTATAAAAAATGAAATGTAATGCATACATTTTGTAATATATTTGATTGTTTATTTACAGAATATATCATCTTTTGATAAGAATGGAGATTTGAATTCTGTATTTGTTGACTCGATGATGGAGTCTGATGAGGAGGGAAGACAAAATTCAACAGTAAAATAAGTTTTTGTCGATAAAAATACCGAAAAGAGAAAGAGGAAGTCCAAGTGGTGGAGTCATTTTTCTGTTGATGAGGAGTATCCCACTTTTTCTACTTGTAAGTATTGTCAAAAACTTATTGGTTGTAAAACCAAAAATGACACTACACCTTTAGCAAATTACATTAGTAGGTGCAAAAAATATCCTCCAAATTTGGATAAGAAACAAAAATTGATTGATTTTGAAAGTGAAACATTGGTAAATGAAGATGGAAGTACTGAAATAGTTAGTGTTCCAAAATGCTGGAAATTTGATCATGATTTGTGTAGGAAGAAGCTTGCTAAAATGCTTATTGTGGATGAATTGCCTTTTTCTTTTTTCGAACATGAAGGTTTCATTGAATTATGCAAGGCTTTAAATCCTCTCTTTAAGCTTCTTTCTCGTACAATTGCCTCTAGAGATTATTATGCTCTTTTCGTTGAACAAATAAATGAGTTGAAAAAGACTTTTAAGAACTTACATTATAGGGTTTGTCTAACCACAGACACTTGGACAAGAATGGAATTTGCATAAAAGGATAATTAATTTTTGTCTAATTGATGGTCATTCCGAACAACTTATTGGCAGAGCTGTTGAAAATGCTTGATTGAATGGGGTTTGAAAAACATTATGACTGTAGCTGTAGACAATGCTAGCTCAAATGATTTAGCAATTGAATACTTGAGAAGAAGACTTACCATTTGGGAGTATAGTTTATTGGAGGGTCGATATTTACATATGAGATGTGCATCCCATATTTTGAATTTGATTGTGAAAAAGGGTTTGAAAAAACTTGATTTGTCCATTATGAAAGTTTGAACTCTTGTGAGATATGTTCGATCTTCTCCCGCTAGACTTCAAAAATTTAAAACTTGCATAGAAGAGGAGAAAGAGGATAACAAAAGTTTTGTTATTTTATATGTTGAGACTAGATGGAATTCAACTTTCCTAATGTGTGAATCTGCTATCAAGTTTAAAAAGGCATTTTCTAGTTTATATATGAAATACTCTTCTTGTTTAAGGGAACTTAGAAAGGTTGGTGGTGGTCCCATTGAAGATGATTGAAAGAGGGTGAGTAGGTTTTTACCTTTATTGAACATTTTTTTATTATGCAACATTGAGGTTATCTGGTTCTCGTTATATGACTTGTAACCATTATGCATACGAGATTTATGGGACTAGATTAATGATTTTCAACATAAGTGATGATGATGACGGTATTAAGAAAATGACAGCCCAAATGATGTCTAAGTATGAAAAGTATTATGGGAACATTGATAATATCAATATTATGATGTTTGTGGCTGTGATCCTTGATCCTAGGCACAAGTTGAATTATGTTAATTGGATTGTGCATGATTCTTATGATGAAACACAAGCCACTCTTTTGTGCCTCAAAATTAAGATGGTTTTGCAATCTTTATTTGACTCATATGCTTCTTCAATTCCTCGTTCAAAGACAAGTGATATGTCTTCCTCCACTTCTACTTCTTTATCTAATTTCACTCAAGGTGGTACTCAAAGTGGAGGTAAGATTGATCTTCAACAACTTATCGCTTCAAAATTTCAAATGGATACGAGTTGTTTGTTAACTAGTGTAACATCCGAAAAACTAAGTTAGTGACTAAATTGTAAGATTTTGAAACTTTGGGTCTAATTTTAAAAATTAGAAAAGTTCAGGGACTTAGATTAGAATATCTTAGTGTTGGATTAAATAGAAAAGAAGTAAGGAATGAAGGGTATTATGGTCTTTTCATTTTAAAGGATATTTTATCTCCTTTATTAAGAGATAAGCACATGGATTTTGGAGAGATATCTAAAAACACAATTCTTGTCCTCTTTTTTTGCCTGTGAGCTCCACTTCAAGGTTAAGATTATGAATTTTGTTGATTTCTTCAACTTTTGGGGTTGGTGTTGAAGGCTTGAGTATTATATAAGCTTAAGGAAAACTTGTATATGATTAAAACAACAAGAGGAGAGAATTAGAAAGGAATTTGTAAAAAGGGTTTAGAAATAAATTGCTGATATGATGTAGTTTTTAGAATTTTGTTGATAAATTTGACTTGTCATAAGTTGGAATAAGAAGTCTAAAATGTTAGAAATGAGTTTAGAACATGTTGAAAGTTTAGTAAGATTATTGGTTTCAAGATTTATGATGAGATATTGAAGATGATAATGTGTTATAGTGATAAAAGATGGTTTAAGTGAGTATAGTTGAGTTTAATGGCATGAAAAGAGTTCTAAAAGTGGAGTTTAGGTGAAGTGTTGATAATTTTTAGGTTAAAGGAGTTATTATGGGTTAGTGGTATCGGTACTGGATGAGCAGTACCGATACTACAAGGCATTAATAGGTGATAATTATGTGTAGGTATCGATATTGCATGAACAATATTGATACCATAAGGCGAAAGTTGGCAAATTCTTCATGGGGTATCGATACCGAAGTGGTAGTATGGTACCATGGGTATCGATACCAATGTGGAAGTATCGATACCATTTTTGTAATGAAATTTCAGAATCAAGAATAGGTATCGATACTGTGGGTGATATCGATACTATAAGCATAGAGGTATCGATAATGTACTTGTAGTACCGATACTACTCAAGTTGAAATTTAGTGCTTTGTTTAGTTGCATTGGTAAGAATCTTTTAGAGTAATTCGTATTCCGATATTTATATGGATTGTATATTCGTGTAGATATCGAGCGAAAGCAAAGTCCGAAAAAGTTGACGAAGTAAGATTTACCGAGAGAGAGATAAGAGATTGGTGTTGACTATTGAGGCTAAGGTGAGTACATGATATCATGTATTGGTTATTTTATGGAATTAAGACTTGCGATGAGTCTAATTCCTATATTAGATTACATGAGTACATGAATATAAGTATGTTATTGATATGATGCTTATGTGTACATGAGTATATGCATATGCCTAGATGTTAAGTGCATTTTTATACATGATTTATGTGAATGCATGTCTGTGTGATAAACTATGTGAACTGATATAATTAATTTATGTGATTAAAAGGAAAATGAGATAAGCTATGTGACTATATGAAAATGTAACATGAGCTATGAGATAATAAGTATGTGATTACATGTTATGTGAGATGAACCTATGTGATATGATTTATATGACAATGAGCTATGAGACCATGAGCTACGTGATAATAAGTTATGAGATTACATACCATGTGATATAAGTGATGTGAATATGTGACAACTATAAATGGTAATGCCTATGTTATGTGATATAAGAGTCGAGGGTTTTACGCGGTCCTTCGAGACATATATGTAATCCTTTGGAATATATATGCGGTCCTTCGGGACATATATTTGGTCCTTTGGAACATATATGTGGTCCTTAGGGACAATTCTATGTGGTCCTTCGGGACATTTATGTAGTCCTACGAGACATATGTATGGTTCTTCAGGACATTTTATATGGTACTCCGAGCAAATTATACGAGCTGTGGTGACATCATTTGTGCACAACCTCAATGCACTCACATATCTTTAGTTCTCAGTAATGTACCATTGGCTAATAAAAGATATAAAAAGAATTAACATTTTATGAGGTGATATGTTATTATTTGTTAAATGCATGATCATATGTGTTTTGTTGTGTGAGATATAATGATTCAAGTAAGAGATGAAAGTATGTAAATATGTGTTATGGAAGTATGTAACTGCATGTTTCCTTAGTTCATTTATGCAAACATGTCTCACTAAATCTGTGACTTAGCGTGTGAGTGTTTCACACGTAGGATCCAAGAAGTATGAAAAGAAAGGATAAGCAATAGAGACAACATAACATCATCAGAGATCATATCAGAAGAAATTTAACTGTAGGTTCTTTTGTAATAATAAATAGCGTTGGCATGTACCTAACAATTTAAATTGTATATGCTCTGATAATCTTTTGTAAACTTTTTGATTTAATGTATGTAAATTATTTAGTTTATTTAAATAAAGTCTGAATTTCTCCTCTATTTTATATAAGTAAATGATTTGAAATGTCAATGTGACACCTTGGACTTGTATCCGGATGGGATACATGTTGGGGGTGTTACAACTAGTGCCAACAAAAATGAGTTGGAGAAGTATTTAGAAGATGCTTGTGAGTCTCATGTTTCAAATTTTGATCTCCTACAATGGTGGAAAGATTAACCAAAAAGATACCCGATTCTTCATAGGATGGCTAAAGATGTACTTTCCATACCTATCTCGATTGTAGCTTCTGAGTCGGCTTTTAATACGGGGGGTCGCATCCATGATTCTTTTTGCACTTCATTGACTCCAAAAATAGTTGAAGCACTTGTTTGCACTCAAGATTGGTTATGCATCTCTCGATCACCTATTATAATAGAGGAAAGTTTAATTGCATTGGAAGAGTTGGAGGAAGGTGATTGCTTCTTTTTTTGTTTATTCAATATTTAAAGTTTAAACATAAATGCATATTTTAATCTTTTTTATTTTATTTCGTGTGATGTAACCATGAATGATCTAACTTTAGAACAACCGAAGATCATAATTGACGAGACAATTAATACTTTGGATGATTTGTAAAATTTTTACTTTGAAATGTTGAAATACTTAGTGATCCTACTATTTCTTTTATTATGTTGTTAAGACTTGATACTTTTGTGTGGTATTTTATTTTTGAACATCTTGTGTTGATTTTATTGTGTTGTTGAGATTTAATACTCTTGTGTGATGTTTTTAATATGAACATCTTGTGTTTATTTGAGACTTGATACTCTTATGTAATATTTTTATTTTGTACATCTTATGTTGGTTTATTGTGTTGTTAATGTACATTTCTTTATGCTATTTAACATTTAAAGGACTATTTTATTGTATTATGTTATTTAAAATTTTAATTGTAGTGAGACATGTAATCACATAAACAAATTGTTGGAAAACAAGTAAGTATGAATATTTTAATTTCTGTTATTTTTTTGAATTTTTTGGCTGCAATTTTGGGTAATAAAAGAAATTTATTAAAGAAAATAAAAATAAAAAGAAAAACAGGTCGGTAAAGTCGGGAGAGGTGTGGAGTGACGACCATATATAGTGGAGATGCATATAGTCCACACGCGACTAAACAGTCAAACACGTTTCTCAATTACTCACTTGATCTGACGACAACATATTCAACTTTTAATGTTTCGTTTCCATCCAACGACTGTAGTCTTGCCACGTACGGATACTACCACGGTACTGTTTGTTACAACTCAAACTAGCTCACTTTTCTTTGAAATAAAAAAAGGGACCACAGTTCACATTCTTAGACTTCCAGCCGCCGACTCTAAAAATTTTGCTACAAAACTAAACCGATCTAAAGTGCAGCACCGTAACAGAAAATCCATATCCATGGCGGAAAATAGGAGCTAGACAATCGATCCGAGAAGTGGCTTTTGCCGGTCCAATTCTACCTTCTAAGCAAGCGCAACCCCATTCCTCTCCCCAAGAACGATTCTCTCGATGTCACCACCTTCATTTCTGCTCGAGCACACCACGGCCAAATTGCCTTCATCGACGCCGCCACCGGCCGCCACCTCACCTTTTCCGATCTTTGGATGGCGGTTGATTCCGTCGCCACTTCTCTTTGCGATATGGGGATCCGGAAAGGCGACGTCGTCTTACTCCTTTCACCCAACTCCATCTTCTTCCCCATTGTTTGCCTTTCTGTTATGTCCCTGGGCGCTATAATAACCACTACGAACCCTCTCAACAGCGCCGGTGAAATCGGAAAACAAGTTGCCGGTTCTCGCCTTTACTAATACTCCACTGCTCCCTAAATTAGCCGGCTCCACCATCCCAATCGTGGGAGCGAAGATCGTCACGACTTTAGTGCAGATGATGGAGACGGAACCGAGTGGAAGTCGAGTCAGAGACCGAGTCAACCAAGACGACACGGAGACTCTGCTTTATTCGTCTGGTACAACCGGTGCCAGCAAGGGGGTGGTGGTTTCATCTCATCGAAACCTGATAGCGATGGTACAAACTGTGATAAACCGGTTCAGCCTAGAGGTAGGAGAAAGATTCATCTGCACGGTTCCCATGTTTCACATCTACGGCTTAGTAGCGTTCGCCACCGGGCTGCTGGCATCTGGATCGATGGTCGTCGTTTTGTCGAAGTTCGAGATGCACGACATGCTGTCAACGATCGAGAAGTACCGCGCCACCTACCTCCCTCTGGTGCCGCCGATTCTGGTGGCGATGGTGAACGCCGCCGATCAGATACGGAAGAAGTACGATCTGAGCTCGTTGCATTCGGCTTTGTCGGGTGGGGCTCCGCTGAGTAAAGAAGTGATCGAGGGGTTCTTGGAGAAGTATCTGAATGTTAAGATTCTTCAGGTGTACGGGTTGACGGAGTCGACCGGAATTGGTGCGTCGACTGACTCGTTGGAGGAGAGCCGGAGGTATGGTACGGCGGGAAGGTTGTGGACCCGGAGAGTGGTAAGGCTTTAGCGGTGAATCAGACGGGTGAGCTTTGGCTTAAGGGCCCCTCCGTTATGAAAGGTACCGCCACCACGCTAATTATTCATCTTTGTCACCATTAAAATAAGACAAATCTCCTGGTAGGATGATTATTCATTTCTTTATCATTAGATTAAAAGTTGTTATTAGCTTTGCAATGTCAGCTTAAGTAAGTGGTTTTTGCATATGGCTGTGCTTTTAGTTTCCCTGTTGTCTCTGGCAATGACTGATTTGTTTGTTTTGTGGTTGAAAATCTTGGGTGTCTGTAGGCTATTTCAGTAATCCTGAAGCAACAACATCGACTCTTGATTCAGAGAGATGGCTGAGGACAGGAGATGTATGCTATATCGATGAGGATGGCTTCATTTTTATAATTGATAGGTTGAAGGAGCTGATCAAGTACAAGGGGTATCAGGTGAATGAATGAATGAAACTCCCTCCCCCAAATGGAATGGGTTCTCTCTCTCTCACTCTGGTAAATTTGATTTGGGCAGGTTCGTCCTGCTGAGCTTGAGGCATTGCTCCTTACCCACCCTGAAATTGTAGATGCTGCTGTTATTCCGTATGTTGCTTTCATTCCTTTGTTTCTCTTTTCCTCTTACTATATATTAAACTATGCTATAAAGAAAATCATGCGTTTCAGGTTTCCTGATAAGGAGGTGGGGCAGTTTCCGATGGCGTATGTGGTGAGAAAACCGGGAAACGATATATCGGAGACCCAAGTGATGGAGTTCGTGGGTACACAGGTATCTGGAAAGAGAACTAATGAACTCCGATGAATTGGTTTGTAGAGTAGTAGAGGAAACTGAAAATGGAATGGAACAGGTTGCTCCATACAAAAGAATCCGGAAAGTGGCATTCGTGGCTTCCATCCCCAAGAACCCATCAGGCAAGATTCTTAGGAAGGATCTAATCAAGTTGGCCACCTCCAAACTTTGAACCCTTAGCTTCTCAACACACTCATGCTTTTTGCTCTGTTTCTTCCCCCCCAAAAATATGTGTTCTGTACTAGAACATCTTTGTGTTTATCTATTTGTGGGGAAAAAAACAATAATTTTATATAACATATATATTCAAAGACTTTATTTAGTCAATGATTGTGGGAAATAATTTATTAACGTTTTTAATTATTTCCCATCAAATGAATGCCATCTGTTTTTGGAAATCCGAGTACCTAGTTATTTGAAAATTTATTGAACCCCCCCCCCCCCAACCCAAACAAACTGCATAATTTAAGCACATTGACATTACATTGCCATCTCCTTGGTCAATCTATCACTGCACATCTCAAGTGGGTGATAAAAGCATGGAAACCACTTTGAACCCAATAAGAATGAGCAATGGTTGCATCATCATCATATATAATGCCCATCAAAACATACCAAAACGCTTTGGATCTCCTAAGCCCAAATACCCTGCCACAAACTCAAGGAAAAAGCATCCATATCAAAGATGCTCATCTTATAATCTATTTGTTCAGTTTGCCATTACTTGCAGCACGTTTGGTTGGCATAAACAGTCAACTCATTCAGGCCTGATTCAATGATCAACAATAATTCGAAGGCCTGGTTTACTGAATCACTCATTATCCATAATCTAAATTCATATTACATATCTATTCCATTCAATCCAACCGAAAGACTCGTACTTATTACAACCTATTTAATTCCTACAGGATAACATTCTACCCCACCCCTATTCCATTATAGTGAACCAAACGTGCAACAGTGGCATATCTTTATCTTTACATATATCTGTGAAAATCTATTGTTAAACCAAATAAGGCCAAATTTGCAGGAATTTAACTCTTCCAACAGCAGGGAAACTTGAAGTCCCGAATACCATTTGATCTGTTGTAAATCAACTGAGCTGGTACATAATACAAGAAAAAAAATATTTCGATCACTAACGGCATCCATTTCAATCGTTGGATGTGTTTAACTAAATGTTAAACTAATGACAAAATGAAGCAAACAATGTTCACTATATTCCCACTTTGATTAGAATTACAATATAATTCCATTGACCCTTGCATACAAAGGTAGTGAGAAAGAAACCATACCTTAAAACTAACTGCCATATGTTCAATAAGAACATCCCTACTTTGAATCTCAAATCAGTAGCTCACCTTGGTTCTGCTTTTTTTTTCTTTCTTCCAGGCAATCACATCAAATCGTAATCCTTCATCAGCTAGTTCCAGGCACCATGGCATTAAAACTCATTCAACCTTCATGTAGTTCTAAATGGATAATGGAAGAAGCATCCTTCTTTTCCTCTTCCTGGCCAACCTCACTTGCTTCGTGATTTTCATGCAGAGAAGCAATAACATTGTGATGCATACTAGGATAAAGGCAAGTTGCATATGCCTAAAATATAAAGAAATGGCTGTAAAAACAAGGAAAGCTAAAATGACGAGTTCCCATATAACAAAGACCATAACATCAACCCTGCACCAACAAACATAAAAAAGCACAGCTATTAGAATCGGTCATCTGCTGAGACAGAGAAAACCAACTAGCAGAACGAAGATGCAATAAGCGTATCCAAATGAAATAAAACAGGTATTCTCGGCCAAATTACAACCATATCGAAGCGGTAATGATTCCACAAGTAACACGAAATCCAGATTATTATTTTCAACTTCTGGCACGTAAGGACTGAGCCTAAGCCTAATAATCTGAGCACATCCAAACAATCGGTAAAGTTCCGATTTCCAGAAGTTTGACAAGCATTCTGCTATAGAAAGTATTAACAGTTAAGCTTAAAATTGTTGGCAAACAGAATTAACCAAAAGTCATAGTCATCTCTACCACAAACTCCTCCAAATCAACTACATGAGACGTCCATAGGAGGAACTTTTTAAATCTACCCCATCCCCAGCAGCACGCTTCTTTCAGCAGTTAAGTAATCTATTTCAGATGAAATCAACAATTTCAAACATTCTTTTTGTTTCCTTCTTGAGGTCCAATGCTCATCATAGGGACTATTACTAAATAGCAGTTCATGAAAATACAGAGTCGGTTTCCAGTTCTTTGACCCCATAAGATTTCAATTATATTTGAAAACGATAATACAATGACAACAAGGATCTTTCAAGCCTTTTCCTTTTCCATTTTTCCCATTCTTAATAAATGTATCAAAAAATTGAAAAAAATGAAATCCATAAATAAACGAAATTGTTTTTTTTTATAAAAAAAATCATATCCGAGAAGCTAGATCTAATCCCTTTACCAATCTAATCCTACTACTTTTCCTGGTATATCTGTAACGCATCGATCAAAGCTCAAACGAAAAAAATTTCATATTCAGAACGAAACGCAAAACCGAGAAAGCAAATCTTGGAATAGGGTATACCTATAAGATGAGAGATTGGACGTTGATGAGAAAAACGAAACGGAAGCCCAATCATGCTTAGACCGAAGCTGATAATCCCTCAATTGCTCAGCTAAATTCGATCGCGTTATCATCTCTCCCCTTCTCCTTTCTCAGCCTTTCAACCTATGATTTTGTTTGGCTTTTGAATATATAAACAAAAAACAAAAAAGGATAAAAATTGAGAATTTTGCGAAACAAGATATGGATTGGAGGTAGAAGAAAAGGGAAGGAAGAGCATCAATTCAATTACGCTTTGGTTCGTTGCGTGGCTATCCCTCGTAATTTTCTCGCACTATTTCCCAATTTTCTCTCAGCACATAGAATGCTCTAATATGATTGGATTTTAATTAAAATGTTTTTTCAAGGAAAATTAGATTAAATATTATTAAGTTTTAGGATTTGGATTGATTATACCATTAAATTAATAACAAGATTTGTTTAATTGATAAATAACTTGATATCGTTTAAGCAATTTCTCAAGTTAGAGTCCTTATAAATGCAAAAAAAATCCCTGCTAAAAGACTCACATACTAAAGTCAAGTATGTGACGCAGGTCGATCTAGACTAATCAAGACGAAACCTTAAACCATTTTAATTTAACTTTTAATTATATCATATAAAATAATATCGTTTTATTAGAGAAAAATTATGTAATATACATAAAGAAGTAGATACAAACTAAAAATCTTGGGAGGAAAGGCTTCGCACCTTACCATTATGATCATCTAAAATCTTGTTATGATTTAAAAACAAATGATATATATGTTACACTTCAGTTAAAGTTGGGTAGATTACACATTTAATATATAGACTATTAGTTTTGATTCATTTTAGTACCTAAACTGTCATTTTTTTTAAAATTATCCTAACATTTAGTTTTTGTTTCATTTCAGTACTCGTCTTTAAAAACTTAACATGTTTAGTGCCTAAACTATTAATTTTTGGCCCGTTTTAGTACCTAAACTTTTATTTTTATTCAAAACTTAACATTAAATTTTGAGCGAGATACTAAAATGAAACAAAAACTAAATTTTAGGTATGATTTTAAAAAAATTGAAAGTTTAGGTATTAAAATAGACCAAAACTGATAGTTTAGATATTAAACACGTAATTTACTCTAAAGTTAATTCAATTTATTATATGATATAATTTCAAAACTACTTTTTATAATTTATGCTATAAAAGTAAAATATTATTTATAATATAATACGTTAGAAAAACATTAATCTAAAAAAATAAATTGTGAAAATAATAATTAGAACAAATATATATTATTATTGAATTGAATAAAATAAAAATATAAAATTAAAATTAACAAATAAAATTGCTTATTCGTATATAAACATAAAATCAAAATCAAATGGATAGAGTCAAATAAACAAAAGAAGTTGTTGATATGTGCATAAACAATTTTTTTTGAGACATTCGTACTCTTCTCGATATTTTGAGTAACGTCAAACGTCAGTATCACAAGATGTAACAACAAACGATAAAAATAGTAAACACATTAACAATGAATAATCGAAGAAAATCTTAGTTTTTTTATCACCAAAAAGAATGAAATTGGGCAATATTTTTCTAGAATATTTTCTATGTCTAAATTATGTCCCAATTAGTCTTTATATAGTGGAGAGGAAATGAATTGAGAGGTTAAAACTATTTGATGAAAATACTTAATCTTTGATGAAGAGAGTTGTTAAAAAAAACTTAATAGATATGATTGAATGAATACAACTTTAAACCAAAAATTAATCATCAAAGAATTGTTTAAAAACTTAATAGATATGATTGAATTGATACAACTTTAAACCAAAAATTAATAAGTCTATTCACTAGTGACAAGACTTATTATTAACATCGATATCATTCAACTAATCCGTTAATTGTTAGAACCAAATCATAAATAAATATGAAATCAAAACATGATATAATCATGCCAAACCATCAAGAATAAAATAAATATTAGATTTGCGGAAGTATACCTGAATCCATTGTAGAAGATTACCCCGAAGGTATCTACACTTTTATTTTCAAGATACTTGTAATACCTTACGACTTTATAACATAATTGATCACTTAAATCATTCATATTTTATGATAACAATATATATTATAAATATAAATATGTCTCTATAATTATGGATTTTAATCTACCATTAATAAGTCCATTTTCGATGAAACTTTTTCTCTAATGATTATCTCAATATTCCACTAAGATTATTTAATTCTCATAACAATGGATCGATTTTACAATAATGCCTTGAAATCATAATATTTTATAAGAAAATTTTCTCCGCACGACAAGTGTAGAGATATCTCACGCTAAAAAGGATGTATCTCAACAAGGACACTCCAATAGAGATATCTTGACAAAATATTCGTAACATCAATCTAGTGGTAAGAGAAAGGCATTTCATATTGTACGAATGAGGACATCTCACTCGAACGCATCCTAACGAGAAATTCACAATAAGAGAAGTCTCAACCCTATAATTAGTGAAAAAATTATGAGATATCTCAACGTTCTAATTAGTGAAGGGGTCTAGCAGTTCATCCTTTTTTGATTCAGACAAAAAATATAGAAAATTGGAATCTAATGTTTCACGAGTATCGCCTTATCCGGGCGTCTAATAAGCATAAACCCATTTTAGACATTGCCATCATAAAATAAAATAAATAAAAATAACTAGGCCTAATTGGGAATGTCGAAAGATTTCAATTCTAAGATAATATTAACTGCCTAATTCTAATTATTCTAAATCATATGCTTGTAGTCGTTTCTTAATGTTTAAATAGAAATGTCATAACATCAATGTACAAGTTACACGCCCGAGTTGAACTTTAAATTAAATAAATATGTAACAATCATAACTTAGAAATGTATTATAAATCTACGAATAAACCCACAAAAGCAATAAATAAAAGTTCAAATTTATTAAATCGATATTAATAATTAATATTAACAACAAGTCAAACTTACGTATCAAAATTAATATTAAATCAAAAGCAACGATAAAAATGAATATCAAGTTAAAATTAAGCATCAAAATTAAAATTAATGATCAATATTAAAATTTACTTATCAAAATTAATATTATCATGACTCAAATAGTCACAATTAATATCAAGTAAATTTATCAAATTGTTAAGGTTAATGATAACAAATAATATAAAATGATATGAAATTAATGCTAATAAAAATAATGAATAAAATAGAGTATTAATTGTTAATTGAAATCAAAAAAATAAATTCGAAATTAATTATCAAAATAAAAATAAAGTACAAATTATAAAAGATTTAAAACCTAAAATTGTAAAATCTAAACAGGGAAAAGTGAGGGGGTTTACATGCAATTTGGCCATTTAATTAAAACAAAAGTGTGTGTATTGTAATTTTGCCATGTCTATTAATACAAAAACATCGTTTGTCTAAAATATAAATAGGAGAAACTATGGGTGTTTTCAAGAAATTTAACCATTCTAAATAAAAAAAATATAGGGGATTGGAATGTAATTCCCTATTCAAAATTAAAACCCACCTTCTTCGTGCAAATCAATTGAAACGCATGGGCGCCGGCTAACCTTTATGCAGGCAGTGTTGGATTTATAACATGATATTTTTAGGAAATTTTTTCGACGAGTTTTTCGGTGAGTTAAAGTCTCCGACGGTAACCTAACTTAAATGATTTACAAATCTTAATTCTAAATAAATAATTTACTTAAATTAATTATTATTTTTAATAAAATAATTATAGAATAATTATAATTCTACCAACAACCAGTTGGTCTAGTGGGATGAGATATTAGGTCCCTTACGTAAGGTCAGAGGTTCGAATCCTGACATTTGCGAATGGAGCAAATTGGGTTGGGAGGGTCGCGCTCGCCTCTGCATTACCCGATCTAGATTAGTTGATCAATAGATCGGATAACAATGATTAATTCAAAAACAAGAATTATAATTCTATTAAAAGTAAAATTAAATTTGAATTAATGATTAATTTTAAATAAATCCTTATACTTTTTAATATTTATATAATAAGGAAAAATTTGTTTGTAGTACGTTTTGGCACGTCGCTTTAGTAGTACGTTGTGGTATGCGACGCGTGGTGTAGAATATATATATATATATATATATATATATATATATTTAAATTTTTTAATAATTAAAGGTAATTATAATGTAATATATGTTCATAATTTTTTTAGTAATTGACAACATAAAGAGACCCTTAGATGCATCTGCTTAAACCTAAGACTTCTAGGTAGGCCTGTAAACAAACTGGATGTTCATTGAACAGTTCGTGAACCGTTCGGCAAGAAGTTCATTTATGTTCGTTTATTTATTAAACGAACAAACACAAACAAAATTTTGTGTTCGTTTAATTAAAAGAACGAACATGAACAGAGGGCTCGTTCGCTCATTTACGTTTGTGAACGTTCGGTAATATGTATGTTCATTTATTTATGTTCATTTATGTGCGTTCATTTATGTTTAGTCCAATCTCTAGACCCATTTAAAATATTAAAGTCCAATAAATTTTAATTTGATACTCATAAATATTTTAAAAATTCAATTAATTTTAAATACAAATAAAAAACTCAAAACAATTAAATAAAATATAATCCTAAAATTGTTAGGAAAAATATATTTTCATTTATGTTCGTTTATGTTCATTTATTGTGTTCATTTACGTTCGTTTGTTTGTGTTCGTTAACGTTCGTTTATTGTGTTCATTTATGTTCGCTCATTTGTGTTTGTTTATCATTTAAATGAATGAACACGAACAAGCTACATTCCTTAACGAACGAACACGAACAAGAAATTTTTTGTTCGTTCATGTTCGCGTTTGTTCATTTGTTCAGTTAAAGTTAAATGAACGAACATGAACATACTACCGTTCGTGTTTGTTCAGTTCGTTTACATGCATACTTCTTGGAAAAACAACACTCCCTTTATCTACCGACTCTACTTGATGAATTCTCTTAGTTAACTTTTCAACTACATTTTATAGGTAACCAAACTACACTATGTAATACTCTTATACTACTTTTATGTGAAACTTTACAATTTAGTGTGTCGATGTTACGCTAGTTATGCATATTAGAAAATGTCGAAAGATCTCAACCCTACGATTAAAAGATCTTATCAGAATTTAACAGAATGTTCACACTATAATGACACCATATATTTATAATATGATATTATTCTTAATTAGCTTTTTAACTACTTTTTATAGCTAAGCAAACTACCCAATGTAATACTCGTATACTATTTATGTGAAAATTTACAAATTAGTGTGTT